TTGGTGAGACCTCATCTCTACAATAAATAAAAAATTAGCCGGGCGTGGTAGCATGCGCCTGTAATTTTGGCTACTCGGAAGGCTGAGGCAGAAGGATTGCCGGAGCCCAGCAGGTTGAGGTTGTGGTAGCCGGGAGCGGCCACTGCACTCCAGTCTGGGCGACAGAGTGAGACTCAAAATAAATAAATAAATAAATAAATAAATAAATAAATAAATAAATAAATAAATAAATAAAAAAATACAAAACAACATGAAACCCTTCCTCAACATAGCCCATAGGAGCCCTCTCACCAATCACAGGTTTCTGATGACCCGATGAGGCAGTGAGGCCTCATGGGTCTAAAACCCTTATAAGAGCACCTTGCTATTATGTATACACCGCACTGCATAAGTCAGGTTCCGGAAGATGTTTCCTTCCATCTTGGCTCGGCCGTAGGAATGCACAATAATACCTCCCCTCCCATCCCGGAAGAGGCACTTGCGGATGAGGCAGCCCTGCACAGAGTTGGCAAGTGCCATGGCCTCCTTGTCCTTCTGCAGCTCCTGCTGCAGTGAGTTCAGCACTAGGCAGCTGGGCAGCTGAATGGATGCTCCTGGCAGTGGTGGGCCCAGAAAGGAGCCTCCCAACACAGAGTGTGGGCCTTGCACTTGGTAGGACAGTCTATATGTGAGCTGGTCCTCGTCTTCATCTTCACCGCTGGGACTCAGGCCTCCGTCACTGCTGTCTGGGGTCTGGGACACCCTTTCCCCATCGCTGCCCACCTCTGCCTCCTGTGAGCCCACCTTGGAGTCTGGTTTTGGAGAGCTAGAGGCTGGACTGGTAGGGCTCTGGCTGCCCTCAATAACAATGTCACAGGTCCTTGGGCTCCAGGCCTGATCCTGGCTCTCTAGGTCCCAGGACATTAAAAAATCAGAGTCTTCTGTGGGGAACAGCGTGGGAGAGGACTTAATAAGCCCTAGTAGATACTTGTAGGCCCAGTTCTTATCTGCAGATGGGTGACCCTCAACAGTCACAGAGTTGTTTTCGCTGCCCACAAACTCACAGTTTTCCAGGACACACAGGGGCACGTTATGCAAGAAGACATGGGTGTTTTTGAAGATGCAAAACTTCACTTGGCAGGTACCTGGACCATAGACCTGGATGTGCCCATTCTCAAAGTTGCAGTTGTCAAACTGGACATGACCTGATGTTGTCTAGGGAATGAAAAGGAAAAAATGGCTATAAGAGGAATATAATTTGTTTTGCTGGTCAGCACTCAAACTCCTCTTTCAGGAGGTTGGAGCATAGAAAGGCCATTTGCTCTGCTGATCACCTCCCTTTCCCCACCAGGACATGAGTGTCAGCTGGCCCCAAAAGGAACTGGGAATCTGCCCTGTATCAGAGAGGGAGCTGCCCACCCTTCCATCCTTCTAATCCCAAAAGAACAGGGTTCAAGAGTGGATGACAGCAGACTCTGTAGCATAGCCCTTTCTACAACCTCAAGTTTTAAGTCCTGCCTGGGCTGGGACAGACACTGGGGGAGGCCCAGCCACAGATGCTGAAAAAGAGTCCTGTCTAAGTGGCAAATGGTATGAGCAGGGGCAGGGCAAAAGACAGCAGGTCATGCCTCTAGAGATGGGGACAAATTATGCTGCTGTGGCCAGGAAGCACTGAACAGTAGCTAAGAGCATGGGCCCTGGAGGCTGACTGCATGTGTTACCTTGAACAAATGACTTCATCTCTCTAAACCTCAGTTTCCTTGTCTGCAGCATGGGGCTCAATAGTTAACAAAGCACAGTGCTAGGCACAATGTTGGCACTCAGAAGAAGTTAACTACTATCATCTGGGGTCAGGGGACACAAGGAGCAATGTCCTCAAGAGTCCGGGGTGAGAAGTACTAAACTCTACAGCATAATTCACCTGAGCCCCTCAGCTCACTGGGCCTGAGAACAAGCATGGTGAGACCCATTTGCTTTATATTCCTGAAAGAGAACAGTTTCTGCATTTCACACAAATTTCAACAAATGTATTAGAACCATAAAATGAAGAGTGTCTTATGATCCCATTTAAAAATCCAAACATATCTACTCCTTTAACAATTTAAAAAAATTCTCTAGTAGTGACCTCCCTTGATAGCTTGTCCCAAAACTTAACTTACTTTAACCTTTCTAAGGCTTCTTTCTTAGGGCTAATCTAATTTTTCTTGCTGCTACTTGAGTCCATTCCCTCTAAGGATAAAAGTCAGCTCTTGGGAGAAGCAGAGTCTTGGAAGTAACTAAAACTGCTGTGAAATCACCTTAGCCTTTGCATTTTTCCAGGCAAGGTCATCTTGGGACCCCAGGACTCTTTAGTTAAAAAACAATTGTGGACTGAAAAACTAACACATGCCAAGCAATAGACCAGATGGTGGGCTACAAAGAAGTCCAAGACCAGGTCCATCCCTTGAAGACCTATGGTTGCACTTCTTAGGGGGAAACAGAGACTGCAATTAATATATTACTCTAAGAACAAATTTGTTATAAAATGTGAAGGGTCTGGAACATTCTTTCTTTCTAGAGACAAACTCTTCTTCTGGGATTGCAGACCAATGCAAGAGAAGCTCATCAGTTCTTCTGAAATATTCCAGGGCTAACAAGTAGGCTTTTAAGCTTCCAGATAATCCAGCATGATATAATTTTATAAGTGCTTAGATTTGAGTTTTAACTTTACTAATTACCCACATGAGAAAGTTCCTTAGCATCTCTGACCTTCAGTACCCCTCATCTGTAAAATAGGGATACCACATCTACTCTGACTTCCACAAATGTTTGCTGTGGGATCAAATGGGGTCACAGTTGGAAAGTCACCTAGATTATGAACACAGGCTTTGCATCTTAGCTCTGTCTCTAAGTCTGAGACCCTAAGTATGCCACTTAATCTTGCTGAGACTCAGTTTCCTCATCTATAAAATCAGATGACACTACCCATCTTATAGGGTTGTGTGGAGGGGGAGAATAAATGAGATAACGGCTGTAAGACATATGCCTTGCGCATGCTAGGTGCATCACAAATGACTGGTATCACAATGATCATTATAGACACAGAGACATTACATTGCTATTGATAGTAATAGCAGCAATATAATTTTATTGACAAGGTTCATAATATAAGTATTGCAAGTACTGTAGTCAGTTACTAGCCAATGTATAAGCTGCAGACTGTCCTGCCAGGAACTACCAAAGCCTTGATGTATGCTTTGCTTTGAACCCACTTTCTGCTTATTCATGGCAAGAATGTATTGGACTAATATTTCCTGACCTTCTTTCCAGTCACCCTTGAGAAGTAGCTGATCCTGGTAAAAGCCTCACCTTCCTTGACCCTGCACAGGGTGGTCCTGTGTAGCCTCTTTTCTTTCTTTGTGCCTCTCTTTCTAACATGTTCTCTGCTTCTTGTCACCATGTGACATGCTCCTAGAACCTGGCTTTCCCACCTAGCTGCTCTACCTGTGGCTCCAGTAGGTTCAGTGGGAAGGGAAGAGGTACAAAGCAAACCTCATCCTTTAATACAGCTTTGCCAGGAATAATTTTGCAGAATTTTGAACTATACTGATCTTTGTGCTTATGCTTATTCCTCAAATGTTCAGAACTCAGAGGAGCGTGCATGTAGTAATAACTACTAAACTCTCAATTCCAACAAAAAAGGGATTGCAAACCCAACAAAAAGAGGTCAAGCACCTGGGGTCAGGACTGGAAAGGCCATCTATCTGATGTGGACACCCACCTTGTACATAATGGGTGAGAACCAGGTCGGCATGAAGATGAGATTGCACACACGTGTGGTTGAGCAGCGCTGATCAATGCTGGCTAGCAGGGTTACTTCGCCCAGTTTACCGTGCCCTACAATCTCCACAGGCACCTTCAGGATGATTTCACCTTGCTCTTCATACACACCTGGGAAGAGCACAATTCGGTCATATAGACTGGCCATAGCCAAAGCACTGCTCAGGCTGTCAAACTCATGACCTGGACCGACACTTAAGGTACATCGTTCCCTTCTCCGGCGGAACAGAGAAAAGCAGATGGAGGACTCCAAGTCCAGGACATTCTTGGTCCATGTCTTGGAGGCAAGGTAATGCTGCTTGAAGGCCTCCCTCCAAGACTCAGGCTCCACGTCAGGCTGGTTGGGCCAGTTGGGGTGGCGGCACTCTGTGCATCCCAGACACAGCTGCCGCCAACGAGTACCGTCGAGACTGAGGATCAGTTCGTACCAGGCCCTGCATACCAGGCTGCAGCGGCCCAGGTCGGGAAGGTGCAGGTAGGCTAAGATCATGCGCCACAGCTCCAGGGGGAGGCCACCAGCCTCCATGGCCACCTGGGAGACAGACACAAAACAAAAGAGGTTTTTGTCTACCCTTCTTACTGGTTCCCTTCTTAAAATATCTCCTGCTGTCTTTTGAGGGCAGGGTGAGCAAGTGAACAAGGCCTATCCAACCAGAGGACTCCATCCCCTTAATCTGAATCCTACTCTGAGATTTTTCTATGTGGAATTAGGAAGGAAGACTCTTTCTCTTTGGTTAGATACTATAAGGATATGACCCCAGAACTGCCAGGTTCCTCACCTTGTGTAGAAAACCTTGTGGTATAAGAGCCAAGCAGAAATGAGCAGAGGTGAACACAGCTAAAAAAGAGAAAGAAAAAATATGAGCACCTATGTGTGTGTCCTGGTAGGACTGATTCCAGATTCTTGAAGATGCTCTGAAATCTACGGTTCTTCCTTCAGTTTTGTGAGGTATCCCAAATCCCCTTCCAAAAAGTTCCCTTTTTGCTTAAGCTGGTTTGATATGGGTTTCTGTGACTTGCAACTACAAGAGTTTGGATTCACAGAAGGAGTCTACCTTTGGCTGTTATGGTCCTAGGGCTCTGGATCTCCTATACTCTCAGGGAAGAGTCCTCTATCTATTCACATCAATAGGAATGAGAACTGAGGCGGTGACCATCCGTCTGTCTCTCCTTGCTCCCAGATCACATAATGACTACTGTTTTCCCAAGTGGGGCAGCCCTAGGAAAGACTGCTGTTGAGATAGATGCTGTGGGGTTTGGTCCTGGCTCTGCCACTGCTTGCAGAGATATCCCTAGTGTCCTGAACACCTACTAGACTGGTTGCTCAGCCATCTGCTTCTTTACTTTCTCTGGAAAATATTCTTCCTCCCCATAAATGACTCACACCACATGATTACAGCAGTAGGGCTCCCTACAGATTTGTGTATACAACGATTGCTCAAACCCCTGGCTGTGACTATTGGACTCTGGATAGTTGCAACTGGGCCACTGAGACTCACTCCAGGAGAATATGAGTTGTGATTCTAGAATCAGGCTGGCTTCATTCTTTAATGGGAATAAATTGAATTAATGACTTCTTTATCAAGCTATAAACTCAGGATAGCTCCTGATGATCATTTTCCCCCAAGAGTGGGATGGGGGGATGGGACATAAAAAGCTGATCTACATTGAGAGAAGAATGAATCAGACAGAAATAAAGCAGAGAAAGGGGATAAGCAAGGGGAATCCAGTTTCTCTATAGCACTGCAGGTCATAGCTATTCTCAAAGCTCAGCTTTATCCTTGCCCTCTGAGTGCCATCAGATATCTCTATACTCTTTCGATAAATTATCCTTTTGGTGTAAGCTGGTTCATTGAATTTCTATTCTTTATACCCAAAGGAATCAAATTTACAAGTCAATTTCCCTGCCCAAAAAACAAGGGAGTTGAGTTAGATGAACTAGAGCAACTTTCAATCTGAAATCCTTTAGTCTCTAGACCAGCAGTCCCCAGCTTTTTGGCATCAGGAACTGGTTTCACGGAAGGTAATTTTTCCATGGAGCAGGGTGGGGAGGTTGGTTTCGGTATGATTCAAGTGCATTACATTTAGTGTGCATTTTACTTCAATTATTATTATATTGTAATATACAATGAAATATAAAGCATCACCACCTCAGATCATCACACATTAGATTCTCGTAAGAAGCTTGCAACCTAGATCCCTTGTATGTACAGTTCACAATAGGGTTTGCACTCCTATAAGAATCTAATGCTGCCGGGCTCGGTGGCTCAGCCTGTAATCCCATGCCTTTGGGAGGCTGAGGTGAGTGAATTGCCTGAGCCCGCGGGTTCGAGACCCGCCTGGGCAGCGAGACCTCATCTCTACAATAAATCAAAAAATCAGCCGGGTGTGGTAGCGCTTGCCTGTAATTCTGGCTACTTGGAAGGCTGAGGCGGAAGGATCGCCGGAGCCCAGCAGGTCGAGGCTGCGGTGGCCGGGAGCGGCCACTGCACTCCAGTCTGGGAGTCTCACAGAGTGAGACACCAACTCAAAAAATAAAAAAAAAGAAACTAATGCTGTGGGTTGATATGACAGGAGGAGGAGCTCAGGCAGTAATGCCATTGACGGGGAGCCACTATAAATTCAGATAAAGCTTCACTCACTCACCAGCTGCTCACCTACTGCTGTGTGGCCCAGTTCCTAACAGGCCATGCCTAGGTTCTAGGAACGAACCCCTGCTCTAGACAACTGAAAACCAGGATCAGAAACAACTGACCTTAATCAAATTGTTCACTTCTCCAAGGTCTTGGTTTTCTTCTAAGTTTTATGAAAATGTTGATTATACTTGTCAGTTATCTAAGCCCTAAGAAGGCTAGAAGTACAAATGTGTGATTATGTCGAGAAAAAATTCTGAGTTTCAAGACTGGTGTAGCTTTAACGCTGCAGATCAGACTGGAGCCCAGGTATGTTGGCTCTTCTATAATGATCACTCAGTGAGACTTTACTAAATCCTCAGCAGTGGAAGAAAGCCAGGCTCTGGAACATTAAACCTTATTAAGAAAAGGCTGGGCTATTGGCAACTACCATTCACCCAGATGGAAGTCACTTTATTTATGGAGGGTTCTGTGACATTAATACACTGATATCTCCTGTTCCTCACTTAGTTCCTTTTAAAAACATTTTTAAAAATTAATTATTTATTTTTCTCAGTCAGAGTCTCACTCTGTTGTCCAGGTTCCAGCATGGTGGCATGATCATGGCTACTATAGCCTCAACTTGCTGGGCTCAGGTGATCCTTCCGCCTCAGCCTCCTGAATAGCTGAGGCAGGCACCACCACACCTGGCTAATTTTAAAAATCTATTTATTGTAGAGATGAGGTCTTGCCAAGTTGCCCAGGCTGGTCTCGAACCCCTGAGCTCAGGCAATCCCCTTGCCTTAGCCTCCCGAAGTTCTGGGATTACAGGTGAGCCACTGTGTCTGACCCTTTTTATTTTTTTTTAATCTGAGATGGGGTTTTGTTATGCGGCCCAGACTGGTCTTAAATTCCTGGGCTCAAGCGATCCTCCCACCTCAGCCTCTCAAGAAGCTGGGATTACCATGCTGGCTCATCACTTCACACTCTCAGTGTCTTTAGGAGAAAAATATTCTATCCATTCTCTATACATTCTATAGCTAAATGATCACATCCATTCCCTTGGCTTCAGCTACCACTGGAAACGAATGACTACAAAATCTGAATTTCCAGTCCTACATGTCTCTTTCAAGCTCCATATGTGAATGTACATTGTTGGGCATTTCTACTTGGATGTTCCAGAGATACCAAAATCCTAACATCATGTCCAAAATGGAAACCCAACTACCACTTCAGGTCATGAGAGAATAACCAGAATCGGATTTTCTCTCCTGCCATAAACAATTATAAAGCTGGACAAAATATAAAAAGCAAGTGAACAACATATGCTTTCAGGCACCGAGGTGCAAGTTGCTCAAGACTGTGATTTTTGAGGAAAGGAAGCATAGGAGATAAGTGCCAGAAACATCCTGGCTTTCATTCTGGGGTACTTTCTTACTGTGGTTTAGGGAGATGAAGCCCAAGCAGAGTGGTCTCACTGAGCTAGCAGATTTGCATTTTGTATTGCTGAAGAGGCTGGCATTTATGAGGCAAGAAACCAGAACAGAGAGCAGCACAGAGTGGTATGGGGCAGGGAGGGCAGGCAGTTTCCTGCCTGAAAGGTGGGCTGTACGTGTGCAGGAAGAGACTTCGTCAACTCTAGTAGAGATAGCCTGCTATGGATTGAGAACTAAATAGTGATATGAGAAATCATGTAGAGCTGGGAGACAATGGAATGCCAGCCCAGACAATACGGAGTGTTCACACTGAGAATCAGAAAGGATATTCCAATTCAAATAGGAAGAATAAAAGTGAGCCTGACAGTATCAAAAGGTTCCACCAGTGATTTAACTGCCTGATAGAGTAAAGCTTAACACTCTAAGAAAATACAAGGCCAGGTACCATGGCTCACGGCAGTAATCCTAGCACTTTGGGAGGCTGAGGCAGGATTGCTTGAGTCCTGGAGGTTGAGATCAACTCGGGTGACAGCAAGACCTCATTACTATAAAAAGATCAAAAAATAAGTAGGGCATGGTGGCGCCCCCCTGTAAACACCTCTACTTGGAAGGCTGAGGCAGAAGGATTGTCTGAGCCCAGGAGGTGGAGGTTGAGGTGAGCCATGATCATGCCACTGCACTCCAGCCAGGGAAACAATGTGAGATCTTGACCTAAAAAAAAGAGCCGGGCTCAGTGGCTCAGCCTGTAATCCCGCGCCTTGGGAGGCTGAGGTGAGTGGACTGCCTGAGCCCGTGGGTTCGAGACCTGCCTGGGCAACTTGGTGAGACCTCATCTCTACAACAAATAAAAAAAAATTAGCCGGGTGTGGTAGCATGCGCCTGTAGTTCCAGCTACTTGGAAGGCTGAGGTGGAAGGATCACCGGAGCCCAGCAGGTCGAGGCTGCGGTGGCCGTGAGCGGCCACTGCACTCTAGTCTGGGCGACAGAGTGAAACTCCAACTCAAAAAAAAAAAAAAAAAGATAAAAAGAAAATGAAAAGACAAGTGACAGAATGAGAGAAAATATTTGCAATGCATATATAAGACAAAGGGCCTGTATCCAGAATATTAATAAATCCTGCAGTCAATAACAAAAAAAAATCCAATAAAAATGAGACAAAAGATTTGAAAAAAACCTTCACACGCAAAAGAAAAATTAGTGGCCAATAAGTCCATGAAGCTCACAAAATTTATGAAGCTCAATATCATGAGTATTCATTATTACTCCATCTGTCATAAAACCATGAGATGCCACTACACACACATACATTAAAATGGCTAAAATTGAAAATACTAAAAGTATCAAAGATGTGAAGCAACCAGAACCCTCATGCATTGCTGGTAGGAGCATGAAATACTAGAATCACTTTAGAAAACCATTTGGTGTTTCTACTATGGTTAAACATACACCTATTCTATGAATTTCAGTCTTAGATATTTATATAA